TATATATATATATATATATATATATATATATTGTATTGATCAACTCAACACCTCCATCCCTAGGGGTGTTCACCCTATCCTACGGGTAAGAAATATGATTTTTCGTCTTCCTACCCGATACTTTGTGGAAGAATTTTTTTTTGGCCTACCTTACCCTATCAAGTGTGATATTCTTACCCGACTTCTGGCCAAATTAATAGGTTAGAAAGTCGGGTAGAAAATCGGGCCAATACTTTTGTAATTATTAATTTTTGGTTCATTTTAACAATTCAATTAAATAACATGCACCAATTTAATAACACAATAAACCAATAATACTAAAACTTAACACAATTACAACAATAATTACAATAAAACACAAGAATGTATAAACATCAATCCATCATAATTGTTGTATAAATATAATAACAATTATTTTAAGTTTAAACCATATGGTTACGAAATTAGGGTTTTTAATATATATATATATATATATATATAAATGCGGGTAGGGTAGGGTAGGAATACGGAAATTAATGGTCATTCTGCATTCCTACTCGATTTAATCGAAAAACCAAAAACTATTCCGCATTCCTACCTAATTTTTTTAGCTAGTCGTTCAATAGAGTCGAATAAGATAAAAAATGACGATTAATCAGAAATTTGAACACCCAGAACCCACACTAACCCTTGTCCTATTTAATATGCACCACCCACTGAATATTATTGTGAAAAGATCAAGTGGAAAGTTGGCTTTGAAGAGTGGTTGAGACTCCTTTTTGATTCAGGAGGATACAAGAAGCATTCCAGACATTAATATGGTGGAGATCAACACAAGAAATGATATATAAAAGTTAACAAGAAATCTATTTTATATTGTGACATCACAAAACGGTATTAAAAAATATACGAGTCAATAATGATGCTCAAAAAATTCAGCGACTATATGACTCCTAATCGATGACGATGCTCAAATAATTTGGTGGATAGATGACTCCGATTCAATCATAGGTCAAGTAAAACTCATAATTTACACTAAAAATAAAATGATATTGGATCAAATGTATCAAGTCAGGACCTAGTTACATCAAATTAGATCCGACTTGACCCACTCTTTCAAGCCTAAGTGTATTATTCCATCACTGTCACCCTTTTCACTCCCTTAGAATTGAGACGATTTGGTGATAGCAAATCATACCAGAATTGAGACGATTTGGGGATAGCAAATCATACCAAATACACGAAAAGTTCTATGGTACCGCTGGCAATACCGATATCAAAAATTATAATTTTTTAAAATTAAATTACAACTTTTTTGAAGTATAAGTTACAACTTCAAAGAGTATGATCGATCATGAAATATTTGAATCAATACTGTATTTTTTATGATCGATTATTGATATTTGTATTTGATCATGACCTCCCCTAAACAGTTATAACATTTCCTTTTAAAGTTATAACTTCACCGCACAAAATAGTAGCCGACGGTACCAGTACCAATTTTTTTATTTTTGGGTACCATATAGTTTCCCCAAATACACACATGAGCAAAGAGAGGTTCCAACAGATGTTAAGGTTTGTGAGCAAACAACAGTTCTAAGAGACATTGACCATTAAAAAAAATTTGTCACTTAAGTTACACTTGCCAATATAGATAAAGTTCTAATCCAAATCTGTCCAATCGGGCATTTTAGTTATATAATTGAGAGAGTATCTTGAACTAGTCTAGAAATTTTCCTCACAAAAATACTAAGACAATAATGTGAAACTCTTAGTCCCATGTCCAATACAAAATACAAAACACTCGGCATCCATTACTTACACTTTGGTATGAGAAGAACCTCTGGACTTTTTCATCTGTGAACTAGGGAAGGCACTAGTTCAACTGCCATGGATAATCTAATCTGAGGGACCAATACCAAACAAGAACTGCTGGAATAATGGGGTTGTTGCCCTGATTTGGTTCTTCTTCATTGGCACCATTCAGAATCTCTGGAATACATGATGCCCATGACCAACAGGCGATTGCATCGGAGAGTTCTATAACCAGTAAATTCACAATGTTAAGGACAACATCAAGTATGGTGTCATTGAACTGAGATCCGTGACCATAATTTGAAAGATGAGGGTCAAAATGAGTAGGTAAGACGAATTCAATCAAGTTTTCCAGAATTTAACATTTACCTGAACTAAATTGCAAGTCAGACAATTGCAAACTGAATAATGCTAGATGGACTTAAAAATTACACTTGATAATTTCAACCATTGAATAGGTAGTGAGTCCCAATAAATACTGGGACCCACAGTGAAATCAATAATTAAAATTATCAAATCTAATTTTTAAGTCTACTTTTTTGATGGAGAGTAAGCAATTTTCAGATACATAATATGTAGAAACTATGTTATTCTCCTTTGTCTTTTTTGGAAAAAAACAACACAATTTACGACAGCCGGGTCACAATTCAAGAACAAAAGCATAAAAAAAGTAATATGCCCATGCCCACATTTCGAGCCACCTGCATGCCATTAACATTAAAGACTGCAAATATATATATATATATATATATNCTGTCAAAATTAATGGGGTAGTTTTTTGACGGAACGAGCAATGAAATCTAATGGAAAGAGTATATTACAATACTTTTAATACATTAAAGGTATGATGTAAAAAAAATTGCCCATCTAGATAGACAGATTAAAAGTGTTAATTAGAATACAATTTTACTAAATTTCTTATGATATATTTTAATAAAAACTTCATCCTCACTCATTCTAGATAGACATATTTTCAATGAGACTCTCTCTATTTTCTATTTTTTTAGTATATTAAAATTTGGACCAATTAAAATTCGATTCGAGTTAATTAAACTTTATTTTTATGCATTTAAATTTGAGTTGATTAAAAATTATATTTTTTATGTATTAAAGTTTAAGCCGATTAAAATTCTATTAGAGGCTCCAAACAAATTTTAATCAATTCGCTCTAAATTTTAATTGACTCAAATTTTAATACATAAAAAATAAACTTTAATCAACTTGAATTGAATTTTAATAAATAAAAGAATATAAATTTTAATCGACTCGAAACAAATTTTAATCATGGTTAACAACTTAAGTAGAGCTCAAATTAGCCCGAATTTTAATACGTAAAAAAAAAAAAATTTAATCAGATTGAATCGAATTTTAATCAATTTAAATTTTAATATGTAGAAAAAAGAATTTTAATCGGCTCGAATTTTAATATGTAGAAAAATTAATTTTAATCGGCTCCAATTTTAATCGAATTTTTTGTAAAAAGATTGTTTGAGATTTATGTAGAGGAAATTTTGATATTTTAGATAATTTATTTTTGTTATAAATTATGGTTTAATGGCAGGGGTGTCAGTGATGTTTAAATATAAACTAGAAGGGGTGTCAGCAATGTTTTTGATAATAGAAGGGTTGTCCTTAAAGATTTAATAAACTATAAGGGGTGTAGCTGAAATTTTTCCTTAAATAAATTACTGAATTATAGTTTTTGTAATTGTATTAATTTTATTACAATTACAATTTTATTTTTTGGTTTATCACTCTATATATAAAACACATAGCTAAAATTATCCTTTTAATGTAAAAAACATGCTTGCCTTACCTGCTTTTAAGGGTTTTTTTTTTTTGGGTGTAAGAAGTGTGTTTACAAATTCACGTTTTCATGTTAACAACTTGAAAAATAAGTTATAAATTATTAAAGAGAGACAAAATGGAAAAAGACAATAATTTCTATTTATACTACTTATAAGTGTTAGAATCTGTGAAATTTTTTTGATTTTCTATTTTATCCCTAATTATTATAATAAATTAAATTATACATGCCTATATACTTTCATCTATTTTTTTAACACTTATTTTGTTTTTCAATTTGTTTTGGACTCTTTTATAAAGATTTTTAAATTTTTTTAAATTCATTTATTAGTAGTACAGTTATATACAATTACGATCTATATCTATATTTATATGAAGAAATAAAGTCCAATTTATATCCTATTATTCTATAGTCCAATATATGTTACATTAATTTTATGGTATAGAAAAATATCATATTATTACAAAACAAACAATAGCATTACAATTTAATCAATTTTTTTGACAAAAAATTTAATAAATTTATAATATAATTACAATAAAGATTGATATAAACAAAAGAGGGAATATCTAAAAGGGCAAAGAGATGCCTAAACAAATAACAGATTAGATAGTCGTAGAGGGTAGAATAGATCAACAATTATGTTTAGCAATAATTAAAATAAGGATTGATTACAAAATGTCCCCTTGAAATTTGTGTCTTATTTCAGTCAGGGCCCTCTAGCTTAAAATTGAACAATTTGCCCCTTAATGTTTGAATAATTTTCATTTAACTTTTACCATTAGTTGACCAATGTTAAAAATGACTTAAATTAATCAAAACCCACAACTACCCTTGTTTTAATATTTTGTATAAAAATAAAAATCAAAAGAAAAAGAAAAAAACCCAACTTCAGTGAAAATCCCAAATCCCTCCCCCCCTCCACTGAAACCCACCCCCTCCCTTCCCCTCAACCCCCTTATCCCTCCCCCTTCATTGAACCGAAACCCAAATCCCTCCCACCCCTCCATTGAAACCGAAAACCCACCTCCACCTTTCCTTCAACTACCTAATCCCTCCCCATCAACTGAACCCAAACTCTAATCCCTCCAACCCTCCTTACTGAAGCCGAAACCCACCCCTACCTTTCCCTCAACTCCACTGAAATCGAAACACACCCCACTGAAACTGTCCCCCTCCACTGTGAATCTGGTGGTTTTGTCGCCAGTGGTTAAGTGGTGGCTACGGTGGTTTGTGGTTTGGGTGGCTAGGTAGTTGCTACGATGGTTTGTGGCTACGTTGGTATTTGCGGTTGTTGTTGGCTAGTTAGTTAGGTGGTGGCTGCGGTGGTTTGTGGTTGGGTGACTAGGTGGTTGGGTAATGGCTACAATTGTTTGTTGGTTGGTTGATTATGGTTGCGGTGGTTGGTAGTTGCAATGGTTGTGGCTGGGAGGTGGCTATGGTGGTTTGTTGGCGGGTTGATTGTAACTGTGTTGGCAACTGTGGTGGTTGGTGGTTGCAGTGGATTGTGGATGG